CATGCCGCGGAGCGGCTGGGCCCGTGAGCCATGGCCGCTGAGCCTGCGCGTCCGGAACCTGTGCTCCGCAACGGGAGAGGCCACAACAGTGAGAGGCCCGCGTACTGCAAAAAAAAAAAAAAAAATCACTAGGGCTCTTGGAAGGTGTTAAGGGACCCATGTCCATCCAGGAGCCCGGGACAAATCAAACCATACGTTCCTTGCAACAGCCCTCTTCCCTCCGCCGCCAAAATTAAGGTAAATGTCAAGAATAGTGTTGAGAAAACAAATGTTCCTTGGGATCAGAGGAGTTACTGGCTGATGGGCTCACTTGAACCTCGGGCTGTTTGGGGCACTAGTCAGGGAGCCTCCTTCATCACCCCAACAACTGTTTTCTGAGTCATTGGCTTGCAGAGTGGGGGTCACCCACAGAGGACAGATTTCCTGGACCTTGGACCCACGAGAGACAGATCAGAACAAAAACTGCAGGCGAGGAGACCTTGCGCGGGCACTAACTCTCCCTGGGCAGGACCTGCTATAAAACCATCTGATAGAGCCTGGAGACAATCAACCCCAGGCCCCGTCAGTCTGATGCCTCCTCGCTTCAACTTTTCATCTGGAATCCCTTTCCTCTCCTGCCCCCTCCCTCTTCACGTGGTTGACCCAAAGTCCTGGAGAGGCAAGGCCAAGTGGTGCAGGGTCACTGGCTGGGAGTCAAACCACAGGCGATTTGTGTGCCTGTGCTGTGATTACCCAATTGAAAATCCCGAGGCATCGTTCTACATCCAAAGTGTTTAGCAACAAGTAATGTATTCTTGATAAATGGCAGGGTTTTTTCTTTTATATTAGGAAACAGCCGTGGAGGCTTTTTTTTAGTACTTATAAAATGATTTTATGACTTTAGCCACTATTTTTCATCAGGACGCTTTCATGGCAATTGGCAGAAATCCAACTCAATCTAGTTTAAGCAACAAAAACCAAGGGGGAGAGATTTATTACGGCACAAAACTAGGAAATCCAGAGGTAGGCTGCTTTCAGGCACAGCGGGATCCAGGGGGTTAAGCGAAGTCATCAAGATACTGTTTCTTTCTTGGGCAGTGTCCCCATGAGGTGGCAAGGACTGCCACTGGCTCTCTAGGCTAACATTTTTCACACAGCTGGAAATCTTAGTACAGAGAGAAAGCCCCACTTCTGAAAGTGCCCTGGAAGGGCTCCATTGCATGCTTATACCTAAATCACGTAGCCGCACTGAAGAGGATGCCAGTACAAGTGGTAGGATCGGCCCTTTACGAACCACGTGGGTGAAGAAGGGGTTGAGGGATCAGTCCCCTCCTGGGAATGCACCTGAGTTCTGTAAAACGTGCGGGTCTCATATATGTTTAATAAACTTTCCACCCCTAATTCCTTTGAGGTCTGCCAGAGAGACGTGGCAGCAGGAGGGGTGGTGTTGCTACTTGACAGCTGGGACGTTAATACTGTGACCCCAGGACAACCTAGATCCGAAATCGGTGGCACCTACAGGATATACGAGTTATGTGGGTACCCATGGGTTGTCTCAGGATGGGGTAGAGAACCCACAGAAAAGATTAGACTTCTTGGTAAAGGGAGGAGGACAGCAGCTTGGAGCATCCGAGAGATTGCTATAGACGTGACTTCTTTTGTTCCCACAGATTGGCAAAGACCTAGACATCCTGGTTACATAACAATGTGCACTATGTTGTTGAGAAATCAGACTGTGTGTGTTTGGGCAAAAGAAGCAAAAAAAATGTATATTGACAATTTGTGCCCTTTAAAGGAATTTCCCCTAACTGTCTTCAGTATTCAGCTTTGGTTTCTGTTTATACAAAGGTGTTTCCATTACCTGTAAAGAAAGATTTTGAATATGCATACAAAGAGGGAAGAGGGGAAAGAGAAGAGACCAAAGGAAATGAGATTAAGCACTTTGGAATCTAAGGGCTTTAAATCTCTCAGGGGCGCGGCATGGGATGGGACACAAGGCCTTATGAAAAACTCTTAAATTTAAACATCCTAAGACCTTAAGAAGTTTAAACCTGTTACTTTCTGCCCTCCAGAGCAAAGATGTGGCTAATCAGAGAGAGACATTAAATAGTCTTAGAGATAATCTCGTGTTTACGTGGCACAGGGTGTTAAGTTCTGACAGCACCGAGCAGTTGTGCTGAGGAAGGCAGCTCTGAACAAGGAGATGGCTGCTCTTGCTGAACGAGGAGCATGCATTTTACAGCAGAAAACCTTACAGCACAACAAGTTGGTATAGCCTGTTCCAGCCTTTTGACTGCATAAATGGATGTGAACATATTTTTATTCTGAAATAATTTCAAACTTACAGAAAAGTTGCAAGAATAATGCAAAGACTTTCCATAGACTCTTGATCCAGAGCACCGATACTATTTGTCACATTTGCTGTATCATCCCCCTCTCCCCATCCCACACCCATATGTTGTCCCTAGACCTTTTTTTTTGGAGCCTCTTGAGAATAGATTGACTATACTGTGTCCCTTTGTCCCTTAAATCTTCCCTTTGTATTTCCTAAAACAACAAAAAAAAGGCTATTCCCTTACTAACCACAGTACAGTTATCAAATTCAGGAAATTTAACATTTCATGTTGATAGAGTATATTTATGTAAACCACAGCCCATATCCCAGTTTTGCCAGTCGTTGCAATGATGCCTTTACAGCAATGCTCTTTCCTGGCACCGGTTCCGTCCAGATTTGGAGTTTGCATTTAGGCATCATGTCTCTTTCATCCCCTTTCCTCTGGAACATTTCCTCAGCCTTTCTTTGCCTATCAGGACATTAACATTTTTTAAAGAATACAGGCCATTTATTTTATAGAACGTCCCTCAGTTTGGATGTGTCTGATATTTCCTCGTAATTCATCTCAGGTAATGTGTTTGGGGCAGGACTAAGCTGCCGTGTCCTTCTCGGGGTATCCCAGTCGGAGGCATATGGTGTCTATTGCCCCTCACTGGAAACATTCATTCTGACCACTTGGCTAACGTGCTGTCCGATTTCTCTCCTGTGCAGTTATTTCATGTTGTACTTAATAATTTGTACAGAGATACTTTGAGATAGTGCAAGTATCTGATTCCTCATCAGACCTTCCCTTCTTCCCTGTCTCCTGAAGTACTTAATGACCTTCTCTGAGTTGTTGCATAGTTTTGGGTTTTTCAAAATATTTGGAAAATATTTAGAGAAGCAAGCACACAGTCATTTCATAAATATTTGGCAGAACAGCTGGTACTGAGCAGAGCTAAGGCAGCCTCGGATTCCCTCAGGGAGACCTCAGGTCGGGGTCTGGGAGGCAGTTCAGTCATGGGAGGAGCAGGCTCAGTGTGTGGAGAGCTGGCTGTCCTCCCCTCGGGATGCCGTCTCCGGAGCCAGAGACATCAACACACAGCTTCTCTCTGACTCTCAAAACTGTGAAACCTCGGCTAGGCACACTTTTGTGCAAAAGGGCAAATAAAAAGGCAGGAGGGCTTCCCTGGTGGCGCAGTGGTTGAGAGTCCGCCTGCCGATGCAGGGGACACGGGCTCGTGTCCCGGTCCGGGGGGATACCAAAAAACTTTTCATCTGTTGGGATCCAGGACCTCTTGACTTAAAATGTATAGAATTCCTGCTTCTAGAGCCAGTTAAACCCAGCTGCGATATTTTTTTAACCCTCAGCTAGCTGGGAGAAAACCAGTGCCGACTCCGAATTCACACCAGGAGCATTCTAGTTCTGTACTGGTATTGACGGCAAGCCTGCTGGACTGTACGGAAATAAGTCTGATATATTTGGAAATCTGTCATCATGGACAAGATGTTTACCTTTGCTGGTCTCAATTCCACTCATTCATTCACTCGTTCAAGGAACTTTTTGACATCTACTTAGGTGATAACTGTACAAAGCAAAGTTAGAGCCAAGTGCAGCCTTTGAGCACAGCCGTAGAATAAGAAAATTGAACTAGATGGTGACAGTGGTTGCTTCCAGATCCGTTGAAAGTGGAAGATTCCATGAGTGGAATAGGTTGGTAGGTTTTTTTCTCTTTCCTTTTTTTTAAAATTTATTTATTGATTTTTGGCTGCGTTGGGTCTTTGTTGCTCCGCGCGGGCTTTCTCTAGTTGCAGCGAGCGGGGGCTACTCTTCCTTGCGGTGCGCAGGCTTCTCATTGCGGTGGCTTCTCTTGTTGCAGAGCACAGGCTTCAGTAGTTGTGGCTCTCGGGCTCTAGAGCTCAGGCTTAGTAGTTGTGGCACATGGGCTTAGTTGCTCCGCGGCATGTAGGATCTTCCCGGACCAGGGCTCAAACTCTTGTCCCCTGCATTGGTAGGTGGATTCCTGACCACTGCACCACTGGGGAAGTCCTGTCTACTGTTTTTGTGCTCAAAGTATTTTTTGTTGAGGATAACGTTCAAAAGTTGTTCCTGTACGTAGCATGTTATGAACCTGGATACATCCATTTCAGAAAAATCTTCAACAATTCTTTTAAAAAGGAGGTTTTCAAAGTTCATTTTCCAGTCACCAAAAAGTTTTTAAAAGCAGAACATACTGTTCTCTGGGACCCCAGTTAATCCAGATTTTGTTGCTTGTATAAAGTATTCATTTCCCTGAATGTTTTGCTGAATTTCATGAAGTCTTGTCGTAGAACCTCAGGCTTTTTCAAAAGCCCTGTGTACCTGTGAATCCTTTTGCTTTGGAGACATAAAACTGCTTTGTCTTTTCAGGTTAACTCTGAAGAATGTTGAAAATACTTTGCTCACTCTTTTTTTTATTGAAGTATAGTTGATTTACAATATTGTATTAGTTTCAGGTGTACAGCAAAGGGATTCAGGTTTTTTTTTTTTTCGGATTATTTTCCAGTATACATTATTACAAGACATTGAGTATAGTTCCCTGTGTTATACAGTAACTCCTTATTGCTCACCTGTTTTATATACAGTAGTTTGTACCTGTTAATCCCATACTCCTAATTTTCCCTCCCACCTTTGCCCACTCTTCTTGTCTCTCTTCCTCCCCCTTAGGAGTTAAAACAGGCACCACCCAAGCCAATGGTCAGATCCCCCAGGCAGCACATTCTATGAGTACTATTCTCGGAGAAGCCCAGAGACATGTTGAAACAACCAAGGTAAGACCCACTTCTATCAGACTGTCACCTGTAAGCCCATATTCTAAACCATTAGCAGTATTCTAATAACTGTTCTTTTAAAAAGAGAAAATAGAGTTCCAAGAATTCAGAAGTCACTGCAGTTTTATTTAGATAATTGCTTCATACATATATATTTATCTTAAAGTTACATAGGCTAGAATGGAAAATTAAAACCAACTATCACAGCTTCGGGAAAATGTAAGAATTTTTTTAATGCTGAGGATTGGTAACTATTTTTAGTTTAGCTACATTTATTTTGACTGAAGCAATTTTTTTTTTTTTTTTTTTTTTGGTTTAGTCAAGTGGTTTTAGCACTCTCTGAAAGTGGCATCTGCATTTTAAGCCCTTGGGATTTTTACTTATTTTTTCTGAATAAGAGCAACATGTTAGTCAGAAACCCTTTATTAAATGCTATCTGGACCCCAAACCAGATTAGAAGAGTACTGACAGGGTCCCACTATAAAATATTTATTATTGTATTTTTCTGTTAACGTTCTACGTATGTCCTCAGGGTGACAGAGAAGAAAACGCATTTTAAAATAATTTCCAAATTGGTGTAACATTCTCCATAACTTTTTTTTTAGTAGAGATTAATGAAGATTCATTTAAATCTAAAAATTATAGCTAAAAGTTATAATTTAGTTATTAGTCCAATTGGTAACGACTCAATTGATTATACAAGTTCCACTGAATATTTCCCATGTATGATTCAAACCAGTCTTAAATGTGTTTCAGTAGTTTTCCACCTCATTCTCCCCTTTCATTTTGTCTATCAGCCAGTGGTGGGAACAGTTAAATCCTGTATTTATCGACTTCTTATAATTTTTGAAAACCACAATAGACCATTAAAAGGTGTGTTTCTCTAATATTCTTGTTAGCTTCTCAAGTCTGACAATCTCATCTTGCAGTGTACTTTCAGCGATTATTATTTTCATGGTTTTTGTAATGCCAACTGAAGAAAAACATTTTTAAATGCTGAAAGCAATAAAAGGATCCCAGAATAGAAATCACTTAACTATGCGTGAACACTAATTCCCAAACTGCCTGTTCAGAATTTTTTTAAAAAATACATCACCAGTTAATTTCTTATCATGCTAAGCAGTTGAACTAAATAAAATAAACTCAATCATAAGGGCACTTTGTTGGGGGGGAAAAATTTCTAATCTCCAGTGGCAAGAGGTTATTAAGCAAAGAAAGAAATAAAATGAAAGCCTGATAAAATGTAAATTGCAATGATAATTATCACTAAAACAGAGGGATTCAATTCAGCTGCCTGAAACTCCTGGGGGAAGTTGCATTATATAAATATGAGGTGAGCTAGCTCAGGAACAACCTGGAGTCTCAGGACTGAGCGACTGAGCCTCCCCCTCGGGGGCAGACGCTTCCTAAATCCGGAGACTCACCTGTCCGGGAACTGTCATGTCCACGTGGCCGTGTGGTCAAGAATAAATGCTGTTGTCACTTTGTTGAAGGACAAGAAGTCCGGCCTCAGCAACCACGACCCCGGAGCGCCCAGGGCCCAGCCCCTTCCCAAGTCCAGCCTGCCTCCGCCCCCTCCCGTGCGACGGTCCTCGGAAGTCGGCTGCGGCAGCCCAGGGACGCCCCCAAAGGTCAAGGGCGCGGCCGCCGGCTTCCCCACGCCGCCCCACGACCTCCTGCCGCCGCCCCCGCCGCCGCCGCCCTTGGAGGACTACGAGCTTCCTCCGCCGCCCCCCGACTTGAGCGATGCGCCCCCGGGCTTCGTGCCTCCTCCACCGCCGCCGTCGTTTGCGGGCGACGCGGGGTCCTCGCTGCCGCCGCCCCCGCCCCCGCCCGCCCTCGCCCCCGAAGCCGTAAAGCCGACCCCCGTGGTGGTCAAAAGGCCACCAGCTCCCCCCAAGAGGCAGGCGAACCCGGGACCACCGGGCGGGGGGGGTGGGGAGCAGGATTTCATGTCGGATCTCATGAAAGCTTTGCAAAAGAAGAGAAGCAACATGCCCTAAGGGAAACCTAGAAGTATCTTTGGGTGATGGGTGTAGTCATTGCTAACCTCAATTGCATTTTTGCTACTTTGTTTCCGTAACATCTTGTTCATTTTACATACAATATTGAAGTATTCAGACTAGAAATGCAAATAGGAAACGTCTCCCTGTTTCTCAAGTACATTCATAATCCTTACCTTAATACAGAATTTAGAATATCTGCCTGAATGTACATATCTTTCCTGTGTATTTCCACTTCAATGAATTTTATCTTCCCTTCCAAGTTAAGTAAAATGATATTTTATGTTCATTTATTTTATTATGTTATGAAGCATCAAATTAATAAAAGTTTAAATTTTTTTCCTTAAGATGGTATTTTTAGAAATATCAGTATAAATCTAGTGCAATATCAATTCTCTTTTATAATATACTTGACCTTTTAAAAATCCTAGGCCTTCTAAAGTCTTGTTGATCTTCGACATATTTTCCATCTCCATCTCAGTGACCTCCAGAACTTTCAGAAAAGTTGAAAGAAGAAAAAGAAAAAACCAGGAGAGGTAGAGTGAATTTAGTTTCTTTGAGACTCATTGCTTGATTGATTGGAGTCTTGGACATACCCTAGTTTGGTTTTGGTTTTCTAATGGTTGAATAACGTAGTAATTGGGGGAAAAAAATAGTTTTTTAGATAGTTTTTGGATTCTGTTATTATAATGCTATAAGTTGCTATAAATAAAAATTTAGAGACAGGAAAAGGCAATCAAATTATATACTTCAACCAGGAATGTTTTCCCTCAGATAAATTTAATGCTTAATTTTAACAACCAGTTTATCTTCAGTTCCTATTACCCTTATCTTCTCTTTCTAATTGGCTTCTGAGAGTTCTTTTAGATTTTCTTAGTTTTATTTCCATGGTTCTGTTTTAGTTTTCTTTTTTTAATGTAAAACACCTCAAAATCTTCTTAAAGTGGGTAGAAAATAATAGCTAATGTGTTGGACTTCCCGGGGGGTCCAGTGATTAAGACTCCGCGCTTCCAGTACAAGGGGCACGGGTTGGGAAACTAAGATCCCACATGCTGGGCTGCGCGGCCAAAACTAATAATAATAACTAATGTGTTATTTTCTACTTAAGGAAGATAATTAATCTTGTGTTTTAATATTTGGAAAAAAGTGAGCTCTAAATTGACATTTAAAACAACAATGAAAAAGCAAATTCACATTTTAAAACCAAAATATTTAGTAATTAAAACTGGTAAGGTGTGCTAAATTTTTCCTAAGCACTGGGACCCGTCACTATGGAAAAGGAGGGCTCAGACAGTAGGACCCAGGGGACTGGGGAAGGGAAAGGGAGAGATGTGGTTGTTATGGGCTTCACAGATGACTCCCAAACCATCAATTCAAACATATTCCTAACTTAACAGAGAAGAAATGAGGCCTGAAGATGTGCTTAACCTACATCTCACAGAGCTGGGTCACCGCCTGGGTCTCCTAACTTCTATCCATACTGTACACTTACTTTATGGGGAAAAACTATAAAAATTCAAACATTAAAACGTTTGTGAGTTTTAGCATTAGATAATATATATTTTAGAAGAGCTACGGAAAAGAATTAACTGATTTTGTGGTCAAAATATTGATATAATTTTGGTGGACCGAAAGGTTGAATGTACTGTCTCTCTCCATCCCTGCGCCTTTATTACAGGATATAAAAGAAAACATTAGGAAATAGATGGTCCAGATGGTCCTTGCTTTGCAGAGTTCAACATGCAGAAGTTTCAGTTACCACAATTTAGTTAAATAACACTAGTCCCCAACATGGTTCACATTTGCTGCCATGCTATTTTAACTAGTAATTAGTTTTTTTTTTTTTTTTTTTTTTTTTTTTTTTTGCGGTACGCGGGCCTTCTAGTAATTAGTTTTAACTAGTAGTTAGTAATTATGCAAAGTACAAACATTGCTATTAGCTCTTCAACCCACAAATCACTACATAAATAACAGATACATATGAACAGTGACCAGTCACATCCCTTCTTTCAACACTGTTAGGGATTGATCAATTGATCACTGCACATTTGTTATTCAGTTTATGCACAGACAGAAAAATGTCTTAAGGTGATATGGTATTGTATGTATGTGTCTTAAGTCATTAACGTTTAGAGATACAGAAATATTCATAGATTAAATGAAACTATGTCTGGGAATGTCTTTAAAATACTTGGGGATATATAAATTATACCTCAATTAAAACAATAACTAGGAACAAGGGGGAGGTGTGTAAGGGTGTAAATGAAGCAAGATTATCATGCACTGATATTTAATAAGCTGGTTGAATGGTAAATCAGGTTCATTAAACTATTCTCTTATTTTGGTAAATGAAAATTACTATAACAGACAAAAAAGCTTGAGGAGTACAATTAAATTGTATTCTTATTTGATGTGCCCCAAATTGCTGGGTACATGGTATTAGATGAAAACTTAAAAATTCATTAAAAGATTGTTATAAGATTTTTTAGTTATTGAGAATAACTCAGGTAGTTATTATTCATTAAATTGATTGATTAAAACAAAAATGACCACAAACATGTTTCAGAGAATAGGTCCACTTTATTTGGTTAAAAAATGTTTTTATATATAACCATTATTATGAAATGCAGGATTGTCAAGAAAATGTAGGTGGTCATTAAGAATTTGTCAAATAGATTATTCTATGCTGGGTTCGGTGATAGAAGTATCCCTTAATTGATTTTCCCCAAATTAAGATGAGCAGCTAACCCTGAGATCTTTGGCCCAGGAAGGAGTAGGTGAGGAATAGCCTGCTGTCTCTGCTGCAGAATGCTTCTGGAAAGGACGGCGAAGAACTTGCTGGAGGAGATGGACCTGGTGAACAATTTAAAGTAGATAAATATAGATTATCTTAATCAGGACCCTTATGAATTTTCTAAATTTCTGAAACGACAAGGTAAATTTTAAATGTGCATGAAAATGTTTAAACATTTTATGTTTCATTAAAACTTCAACTACAGCTGTTACTTAAAATTTCTGTTGTTCCAGAGAAAGTTCCTTAAGTAGTAGTTTTTTGCTGAAACAGGAGAGTGAATATGTACAGCATCACAAAGAATACATATATTTCCCGATCATTTCTAAATTCCTTCACAGCATTAAGAGAATTATAATTTTCTAAAATATTTATAAAAATAAAAGGATGTCAATGATTTACGCTCTTTCCAAATCCAGGGCGTGGATTGCAACTCATACTGCTTCATTTGCAATTTTGTCCCTTGGTACAAACTGAGGGATCAACAAACACACCTCTTTCAGCAATAATTCTAGGATCAAAATGTATATTTTCATCCAGTTATAAAAATAATTAAGTCGTGGGGATGTAATGTACAGCATGGTGACTATAGTTAATAATACTGTATGTATATTTGAAAGTTGCTAAGAGAATAGATCTCAAAAGTTCTCATCACAAGAAAAAAAATTGTAGCTGTGTATGATGACAGATGTTAACTAGACTCATTGTGGTGAGCATTTCACAAGATATACAAATATCAAATCATTATGTTGTAGACCTGAAATTAACAAAATGTTATATTTCAACTATACCCCCATTTAAAAAGTATATATAATAAATATTATACCTATCTAATCTTACCTACTAGTTTAAAAGCTCCGTGAATAGATTTTTATACTTCTCTACAGCAACTGGCAGAGGGTGAATTCTCAAGAAATGTTTGATGCAGGAATGTAAACACAAGGTGTATGTGTAAAGAGTTATAGGTCTAAAAGTATAACAAGATCTTTTTCTTTTCCTGCTTGAGAATTTAACCCTTAGTTAACTTTCTGGATCTGTTCCCCTGGTAACCTGATAAGGTGGTATATGTATGTCCACTGTATCACCATACAACACGGCTTATGACTGACAAATAGCATTTGTCCTGGGAGAACTGTAAACACCTGATAGAATGTGCTGGACTTTCTTTAGTGTAGGGACTCACGGCATAAGGCAGGTCTATTGTGGGGATGTTGGAAACTATGCCCATGGAGCTGTTAGAAGAGATACTGGTTTCTGTAGAACATGCAGCTTTTCAGCCAGGGCTGCCCCTGCATCTTCCCAGTGTGGATCGTGTCCCCCTGCACCTGAGCTTTACCGCTCTACCTCCCTGCCTGCGTGGATGCTTCAAGAACTCCTGCAAAGGAGGAACCTAATGGTGCCCTGCTGGTAAGCTATGTTTCTGTCCTGTATCTTTCTGAATTAAGGGGGGCCAAAAGCAGCCTGTAATAGTCTTATGAATCTGAACGTTTACTTGAACCTAGGAAGACACCTCCCCACCCAAGGTGGGCACTGCATCCTTACTCAAATATAATTTTGAGGGAAGGGAGAAAACAGGGACGGAACAAAAGAGAGGGAAGGAAGGTGAAACAAGGCAACAAAAACATCTTATTAAACACTGTTTAGTTTCCCCAGCTTAGACTAATTTATCTAAAGATAAATACAGAGTTAGCTTCCTTCTCTTTGTTTTTCCTTAATAGCCTAAAATGATTACACTTAAAATATTTTATTTTCTAAAATGAAAACCTAGATTTGTCAGGCTAATTAAACTACTGAAATGTAAAGTTAATGCAAGTTCCAAATTAGAAATAGCAAGAACAGTTTCTCTGTCGTGCCCACTCTGATCAGTTGGTAGTGACTACACAGCATGCTGTGATGAGAAGGATCCTAAGGCTGTGACCCATTTGAGAGAGAAAGGGGGCCGTGATCATTAATAATGTCTGTTCCAGTGCAGGACAAAAGAGTGACAGCAAGAGTGCTGGGGGCTATTCCTCTTCTAAGAAATACACTGTGTGCAATGCATTTTTAAACAATTAACTAGGAAATATTTGAGGCATAGAAGAAGGTATGCAGAATAATATGACAAATACCTGTGTATCCTCCACTCAGCTTCAGAAATAAAATGCTTCCAATATGGTTGAAGCCTTGAATATCCTTCCCTAACTCGAATTTCCTCCTTACTGCAAATCAATCACTGTCCAAAGATGATATCATCTTTATTCATTTTGTTACATGATTTTACATGTTTAGATTAAATTGGGGTGGTAACACATTGTCTGTATTCCTTTGCCACTTGCTTGTTTTGCCAAACATTATATGTGAGATTCATACAAGCTGATGTGTATAGACCCAGTGCATTCATTTTCACGGATGTCAAGATTTCATTTCATGGACCCAGGTTGCTAGTGCCATAGATGCCTGGTAGATGCAAAAGCTAATTCCCTCTGGAGATATGCACCCTCAAATCAGGCTTCACTGGATTTCTGAGGTTGAAATCCCAAATCCCTAAACATAAACAATGACTAGCAGAACCAGACCCTCAGAGGTTCAAATAATGTAGATATGATATCAAATGAATATTTAAAATTTTAAACACATTAAAGAATAAATTTTGAAATACCGAGAAAATGATTCACTGATTAAAAAAAAAGAGAGACCAGGTAATGAGAAGCTGGGAAGCTGGTGCTGGCAAAGGTATGGTTTAGCATGTCTGCAAACAAAATCAGTGTGTTTAAAGTATGATACATTTTAAGTTAATAAAAATAAGCTCAGAAAAGTCAACCAACTTACCTCTGAAAAATCGTTCCTTTCTGCTTTTTGCACTGCGGATTCTGCCATCCAGTTCTTCAGCACGTATCTAGGATTAACAGCTTAAACAAGAGGGGAAAGTTCATCATGGAACAATAATTACTAAGTCGACACAGGCCATGTAAAATTACCACTGAAATGACAATGACCTTTAAGAACTTTGCCGGAAGGCTCAAATGAGAAGAATGATCAGCATCAGTCAGTTCTGATTGTTGATAAACAATGTACAGTATTTATCACCTTATGGTACAGGAAAAACTTTTTTTTCGCATCATGAGCAATATTATGTTTTATTTTTCTTTTCAGTGTTTCATCATTAATTCGGTTTTCACCGTATTCAGTTCACTAAGCATTTTATAAAGCTGGGAGAAAGTAGAAGATTCATCCTCTGCTGCTTTTAAAGATGCTGCTTTTAACATCTTCAAACACAGAATTCAGGTCTGACTCAGTAGGACTGCTTAATGCTGTTGTTGCCAAGAGCAAATAGGAAAGGTTACATGCAGGCAAAACTCTTTGTAAATTTATATTTTTTATACTAACCATGCATTTTTTCATACTAAAAAGTATTATAGAGACTTCCCCGGTGGCACAATGGATAAGAATCCGCCTGCCAATGCAGAGGACATGGGTTCAATGCCTGGTCTGGGAAGATCCCACATGCCGCGGAGCAGCCAAGCCCATGCGCCACAACTACTGAGCCTGTGCTCTAGAGCCCGCAAGCCACAACTACTGAGCCCATGTGCCACAACTACTGAAGCCCGCGTGCCTAGAGCCCGTGCTCCGCAACAAGAGAAGCCACCGCAAGAAGAAGCCCGCGCACCGCAACGAAGAGTAGCCCCTGCTCACAACTAGAGAAAGCCTGTGCACAGCAACGAAAAACCAACACAGCCAAAAATAAATAAAATTAAATCTTTAAAAAAATGTATTATAATAATGGCACATTCCAGAAATTATGTCTTTATTTGAGATGAGACTTTTCCAAGATAATTTATCAACTAGGTGGAAAGGAGGGATGTTTATCCTCACTGGCCTAAAAGAAATTTCGAGAGGACTCCAGAAATCACTGTTTTGTGATTCTCAACAACATTTTTCTGAGTTACTTGAGTGGAGGGAACATACAGATTCCACTTTGACGTGGTTTTAAAGAGCTGCCAAGACATGACAGATAATCTAAAATACAAGTGCCCTGTGACCCGGTAATTCTACTTCTCTAGGAATATAGTCTATGAGAACAAATTTAAACATGAAAAAGCATTATTTATATTAAGGAAAACTAGAAACAACTTAAATGCCTATTAATAGGGGACTGGTTAAGTGAAACATTACATACCCTTTCAAAGATATATTGTGCAGTCATTAAAAATGTTACATTATAAAGAATGAAGTAGTCAGGGGAAATGTTTATTTTTAGTGAAAAGAAGTATCTAAAATTATACCATAATATGATTACTACTACATTTTCTCCCAATCAATACACACAGAAAAAGAGAGACCAGAAGTGTCAATAAACGCATGGAAAAGTGAATAGCAACTGTGGTTAAGTGATGGGAATCTTTTTATTCTTTCTACAAGTTTGCATCTTCCAAATTTTAAAGAATTCATGCAGAACTCTTAAAATAAAAACACATATACACAATAAATATATATAATCCTTAGACAAAAAGGAAACTGACATGCAAGGGAAATTGTGGAAGCAGTCGACTTAGGCAGAGGAAGAGTGGAGTCACCCAATTAAAAGTTTAACAAACTTGACCAACACTTTATAGAAACCTGGCAACGAAATACTGTTAAAATATGCTGGGACTTGTAGCTGCAAGCAGAAGTATTTTGGATCAAATTATGTGTTGATATATACAAACTACCTGAAATCAGAAAATTGTAGCTCTGTTCATAGGATTCTTTGAAGTTATCTAATTCTGTACATTTTTTTTTTATCTCATCTGGAACTTTTTCCCATTGCTCACTGTGGAAATTAATTTTTCCTTTCCTTGAGAGTACACTGTTCAGCATTTATTATTTCTCTAAAATAATTCAAAGCTTCAGCCTTGAATTCACTAAATGTCTTTCATCTTACCATCTCATCCATCCTGTCATAACCAAACAAATCCAAATCCTAAGGACAGCCATGACATTTTCTTCTCTCAATTTCTTTTTTCTCTTAATTGCTGATATAGTCCATATTGAGCTGGCCTATAAATTCTGTATGATTGCACCAATGAACATAAGTGGCTGGCAGCTAAATCCATGCTAAGCCCCAAAGACTGATTACTCACTTCCTTGTAAAAACTCAGCTTGCTTTTATTTCTACAATAGTGTCCTGAGTCAAGAAGCAGTCTCATCCTCTAACTTAACATGGAGTATTAGCATCACTCTTATTTCATCAACATGAATCAGCCGCCCTGATGACACACACTAGCTCTCCACACCAGTCCTAAGTAAGGTAAGAGTACTCCAGGACTTGAGTACTTCTGTCTTCTTTGATCTTCTTAGAACCCATGTTGCAAAAAGGACTAACTTCCTTTTTTTTTTTTTTTTTTTTAGATGTTGGGGGTAGGAGTTTATTAATTAATTAATTTTTTTGCTGTGTTGGGTCTTCATTTCTGTGCGAGGGCTTTCTCTAGTTGTGGCAAGCGGGCACCACTCTTCATCGCGGTGCGCAGGCCTCTCACTATCGCGGCCTCTCTTGTTGCGGAGCACAGGCTCCAGATGCGCGGGCTCAGTAGTTGTGGTTCACGCAGCAGTAGTTGCTCCGCAGCACGTGGGATCTTCCCAGACCAGGGCTTGAACCCGTGTCCCCTGCATTAGCAGGCAGATTCTCAACCACTGCGCCACCAGGGAAGCCCTAACTTCCTTTTTTTTTTCTTCTCCAAGCCAAATGTAAAGTCACATGGTAAACTGAAAGCAGTATATAAAGGTGATTTATTTTTAGCACTACCATTTACTATATGTGTATTATGGCCCAGGCACTGTAACAAGATAACTTACATATATTATTGCTCATCGTTACAACATCCCTGCAAAATATGCCCATTTTATAATAGCTAAGGGCCTTGAAAATTGGAAAGTATCTTTCATATTATACAGCAAAAAAGTGGCAAGATGAGGTTCATCTGTCAGATTCCAAAACTCATGTTCTTTCCACCATAAACCACACCACCTTTCTTGTCTCTCCAAGGCCATATTATTTTAACATCAATATGCAAACTTATTGAAAGCAGGGCTATCATAATCAAGTTAAAAGTCATCTGAAATTAGAAAGGCTCATATATGACACTTCAACTCAACTAAAATACACTCATCTAGAGTTTTTGTAGTTAAAAACAAAACAACAAATCCAGTTCCCTCAAGTAATTACTTCCAGTTTTCCAGGTTTTGAAAACTGGGAGTAATTACTTCCAGTAATTACTTCCTGTTGCTTTTATGTAATAATCCTTAAAGCTGAAAAAATCAAAAGGATTACCTACTTGTCATTCTTTTTCTTCTTTCAGAATCTGAATCATTCATGTTACTAAAAATGAACAGAACAAAGAACAGAATTAATCACTGTCTCCCCAAATCATATCATTTTTCCAAAAGGGTGAGAATTATTTCACAAGACAAATACTGAAAAAAAATTTTTAAATCACATTGAATCAGTGTCTGACAGGAAGACAGAAAATCCTGTTTGATTAAACAATATATAAAATACTACTTTATTTTGTTATTTTAGATAATACCAAAACTTTTATTTTTACCAATTAAACAAATACTTTTGTCTAAAAAAAATCTAAACTTGGGCTTCCCTGGTGGCGCAGTGGTTGAGAGTCCGCCTGCCGATGCAGGGGAAACGGGTTCGTGCCCCAGTCCGGGAAGATCCCACATGCCGCGGAGCGGCTGGGCCCGTGAGCCATGGCCGCTGAGCCTGCGCGTCCGGAGCCTGGGCTCCACAATGGGAGAGGCCGCAATGGTGAGAGGCCCGCATACAGCAAAAAATAAAAAATAAAAATCGAAACTCTCTGGCACCTCTCTTTCCTTATCTTAAAACATAGTTTTCTGAAAATAATTTAACTTGTTCTTCATTACTCAGGGTCATCTTTATGAATAGCCCTCAGCTGCCATTAAACTGTGACAGGCTATTTGCTCCTGTGCGTCCTGTGGTTTTCCTGTCTCTCTCTTCAGCTACTACTACCTACAATTTCTTTACTCTTTCATGTTTGTTGCTTCCGATTCATTGTGACAGTTAACAAAGCAAAGTAACTTCTGACGACTGTATAAGATGTGATAATTTATAGACACTGGATGAAAGCCTGGGGAGCTCTCTCTCCAGAGCTTCAAGGCTTGGGAGACTTGGGCTCAGGACACAGGGGAATGGCATTATCAACGTTGAGGTGAACAGAAGGGTGCTCTCTGCGTTGGTGAGATGTTACCGGACACTCCTCAGCCAGAGCAGACTTCCCAGGAGTAAAAAGGAAATGTTGAAAAATGGAAAGGAAGTGAGGAATCTGATGGGTTGACGATGCTAAAGTAATACATTACATGCTTTCTCAAGAAATGATTAGGTTACCTTACCTCTTCAGTCTCAAAAGGTACTGGGACACCCAGGCAGGAAAGAGTTTGTGCTTTGAGATCATTTTCAGTGCCCAGAATTGCTAGAAGAAAATACAGTAATAGACTGCTTATTAATATTTGTTCACTTTATTTTAACTTCATGTCCCTTAAATTATGTACTTTAACAATAATTTATAACACCCAGATTTCTCTTAAGGTTCTCTATTTCAAGTAGAAGTGGTACTAAAAAGGAATAATGTTTTCCTTTTCTTTATATAACTTTCAACTCAAATTCTAATTCATGGAGATCCATGTAATGGCATGATTTAAGAGAAATAAAAAATATACATAGTTCTTATAAAGAGACATTACATATGAATACTTACATTATCAAAACCCTTCCTTTAAATAGGGAAAACTCACTTAATATATAATTTACTTAAAAAATTTAATTTGCAACTGTGTTTTATTTAGCTATCTATTAATTAATCTAACGTATATTTATGGAATGTCAACTATGTGCTAGGAACTATGTTAGTTGGGAAGGATAAAAAAATTAATAAGACATAATTCCTGCTTTTAAAAAGGAAAGTGTGTAAACAAATAAGCCAATGCCATTTTAGAAGTGTTACAGAAATATACATAAAGGCTAAGGGAACACAAATAAGCTATTAGCTCTAGTTAAGAGTTAGGGAGTTAAAAAGATTTGAAATTCAGAAGACACAGAAATTAACTATTAAAATGATTAAAAGTGTAATGATCTCTCAAATTTTCCCAACACTCGGTAATTTAAATATTAACATCTGTCAAGAACTCGTTCAAATCACTTTAACATTACTTTGTCTCACTTAATGTTAAATGTTAAATCTCACATTAAATGATAATTAGTTCTGATAGTTCATTAATAATTTTTAAATTATATCAAAGATGCTTATTGGTTAACATTTTGCTGGATTTCTTGCTGAATAGGTAGACATTCTTTTATTCAAATCACTCCTAAAAACGTAATTTATGGCTATTACATACCTGTGAGAACTATACACAAATAGTTTTTATATATAAATAATTATTTTTAGTTAACACAGAAGTCATGAAATATAATGAAGAAATTGAAATTTTAAAAAATATGGCTAGATTTTCATCTGAAAAATAATAAAAACAATGACTGCAATATAAAAGACTTACACCTTATAAATAGAGCTATGTTTCTAAAAATCTATAATAAGTGGGAGTCTTCTGGTTAATACCCATATTATTCCATAAATGTAGCAGATTAGTATTGAAAAAAAAAGGCAACACCTTTCTTAAAACTGAATTAAGAACAACCATTTTGGTAACAGTTTGGCAGTTTCTTAAAAAATTAAACATAAATTTGCTAAACAATCCAGCAAATTCCACTCCTAGTATCTACCCAAGAGAAGTGAAAATATGTTCACACAAAAACCGGTACATGAATGTTCACAGTAGTATTTTTTCGCAATAGCCAAAAAGTAGGAATGACCCAAATGTCTGTCAGCTAGTAACTGGATAAACAAAATGTGGTCCATCCATACAAGGGAGTAATAAAGTAATAAAGAGGAAATAATAATATTTTAAGACATACTTAAAAGATCTTAAAAATAATAAAGAGGAAAGAACCACTGATACAGGTTACAACATGGGTGAACCTCAAAAATATGCTAAGCGAAGAAGCCAGACACAAAAGACCACATATCATATGATTCCATTTACAGGGGAGGTCTAGAAAGGGAAAAGAGACAGAAAGTAGACTAGTAGTTGCTTGGGGGATTGACTGCAAATGGGCAAAAAAAGGATCTTTTCAGAGTGATGGAATTGTTCTAAAATTGAATTGTGGCAATAACTGCACAAATCTGTAAGTTATTTAAAAATCATTGACTTGTACACTTAAAATGAGTAGAATTTTAGGGTATGTAAATTATGCCTCAACAAATCTGTTAAAGAAAACTGAGTTAAGAAAAAAGCCAAAAGTCACAAATTAATACCTGAGGAATGCTGAGCTCCTGTAACTGGCTTTGAGTGATCTCACTGAGCTGCCGAAATGTCATTGTAAAGTCAGCTTCCGTCTTTTCCATGAGCTAATGAAAATACTTACATTTAGCAACCTCAATTGTTGAAGAATATACGGAATAGTCATTCAAATGTTAATCAGGAAAAAGAGATAAAATGATAAACTCACATGTAAGAGAAATGCAATTAAATCATCATCACCCTTGCTTTTTCCAAGTAATCCCAATTTGGCTTTGAACAATTCTCTAAATCTAAAAGGAGAAATGTCAATTTGATTTGTTGTTAACTTTCTCACTATTTTAAGAATTGCCCTCAAACCAAGCAGGATGCTTTAATATGTGTTAAAACAAACAAACAACAAACCTTGTATCATAAAGAATGGGATACCCCTCAAGAATCTGAGCAGCACTGAGGGAGAAAAAAGACAGCACCGTTAAACCTTGCTTAAATGTTAACATTCTTGAATTACATTTTACATGAACAAAGTGAACCTTCTCATACATTAAATAGCATTCGATTACATACTACTGATTCTGATTTAGTGATTTAATTCTATATCATACCTTAGAGAAAACTGTCAATATAAATTTACTGTCTCAAAGATTTGGATACAGTACAGGTCAAATCAGGTAACTCCTGAAATATGACTATATACAATTAGCTTATAGGATAAATGTTAATATGTCTTTATAATACCAAAAGAGTTATATAAATGGCTTTTATTGGTGTATTTTATTTTATTTTAAATTTATTTATTTTACTTATTTATTTTTGGCTGAATTGGGTCTTCGTTGCTGCACACCAGCTTTCTCTAGTTGTGATAGGCGGGGGCTACTCTATGTTGCAGTGCGCAGGCTTTTCATTGCGGTGGCTTATCTATTGCGGAGCACAGGCTCTGGGTGCGTGAGCTTCAGTAGTTGTGCCATGCGGGCTCTAGAGCGCAGGCTCAGTATTTGTGGCACATGGGCTTAGTTGCTTCATGGCATGTGGGATCTTCCCAGACCAGGGCTGAAACCCATGTCCCCTGCATTGGCAGGCGGATTCTTAACCACTGCGCTACCAGGGAAGCCCTGGCGTATTTTAAAAATTATCTTAGACCCAAAATAATGCATTACAGATACTTCACCCAATACAATAACATTTTATTTGCCTGAATGTTTGAAAACAGTGAAATACTTCATAAAAATTTAAAAATTAAAGTTATTAACCTTAAACCCATTTTTAAACAAATTGTCTATTTCTTAACATTCTTAATGTATTTTAAATTGTACAGATGCTCAACACACTCTGAAGCTCCACTCCCCTGACCTTCCTGACCTTATCTCCTATGACTCTTCCCCTTGATTATTCTGCTACAGCTACCCTGGCCTTCATGCTGTTCCTTAAACACACACACACACTCCTGCCTCAGGACCTTTGCACAGGCTATTCCCTTGCTTATAGCCCTCTTCCCCCACATATCTCTGTGGCTGCTCTTGTTACTCCTTCAAGCCTCTGCTCAAATCCAGCCCCTGACAAGGCATGTGAGCTGCAGTAGTGCCCAACCCTATACCAGCCCTCTGGGTGTAAACACTGCTGCTTCTCTTCTGCCTTCCAGATCTTGGCAATTTCTCCTGTGGCCAACCTAACCCGTGACCAAACAGGGAAGGGCATTTTTTGACCAGTTTAGCTAAGTTGATACAGTATAAGGCCACTACATGTATATGGCTATATGATTAAGTCCTGGCCAGGGCAAAATAAGGGAAGTGATGTGTATAAATTCTGAAATGTGTCCTTCAATATTGAGGACTTGCCTCTTTTCTTCTCCATGCTCCTACCTAGAATATGGATGTGATAGATGGTCCCATCTCAGACCGTGAGGGCCACAGACAATGGATGGTGGCATAGAAAGCTAAAAGCAGTCTGGGACTCAGACAACTGAGTCCCCATACCAGCCCTGAATTACCAACATGAATTACCATACGTTTATGTGAGGGAAAAATATATGTCCTTCTTGTTCAAGCCACTATTATTTGGAATTTCTGTTACAAGCAACTGAATTCATACTTTATCTAATATCCTACATCTCAATCAGAGTAAAATGAAAATCTTAATGGTTACGTAAGATTTCAGAAAGTATGTCACCTATATACCCCATGTGAGTCAAATACTTAAGAAAGTAATCAAGGCAGAGACTTCAAGACGGAATTTAAAAAAATAATAAAAACAATGTTAGTAAGCAGTAAAGTGACTAGAAATGCAGGGAGGGGAGTGGAGTGTTAAGGGCGAAGACTCAAAATAGAAGAGAGATACTTCAAGGGAAAACCTACTAACAGTCTGAAATTCAAAATATTAAACTATCTTAGCAAAATGTAGCAGTTGGGTAATTAGAGGTAAAACAAAAGCATTCTAAAGGTCTCATTGGGATGGAGGGAAAAACAAGGGCAAATAGGAGCTTAGTGAGGGAAAATATTTGGAAACTTGTTCTCATATAACAGTAGAGAAAGTGGCAGAAAAACAAGATAACTATGAGGGGTGGGGGATGCAGTAGTTTCCAAATCAAAGTTGGGGGTTGGAGAGGAATGGAAAAGCTCCTCAAATCATAAAAAGGTAAGGAGAATAGGGGGAAACTAATATGTAAAATAAAACACAATGTAAGACAGAAGGAATGAAATAAGTCAATTATTATAATAGATGTGAAAAGCCCACATACGTCTATTAAATCAGAAACCATCACATTGAGTTAAAACCTGACTATGTTTTGTTTACTTTTATAAGAAACATACTTTAAAACAAGTGATAAAGATTAAAAAAAATAAAGTGAGATTCAAGGCAAATACAACAAAAGTAAGCATGAATATTAATATCAGATAAGTTGAAATTGAGAGCTAAAAGTATTAACCAGGATAAAGGGGGTCACTGTATTAGGATAAATGGCACATTTTCTGAAGGAAATATAAGAAAAAAATCAGTATGTACCAATAACGGCATATTGCACAAATTCAAAACAATTAGAAAAAATTGCTTGCTAAAAATACAATTAAAGTGGGAGATTTTAATACACATCTCTTATGAATCAAACTTATCTAATAGATAAAAAATAAACAGAATCATAAAAGACTTGAATAATATACTCAATACATTCAATCTGATATATTAAAAGGTTTGTGCACATTTTTTATATGATCATGAAATATGTACAAAAATTTATTATGTTGGACCATAAAGAAACTGTAACACATTTTGACTAGATTTTACCAAACATGTTCTTTGATCATAAAAATATGGACAAAATAAGCCCAACTACTTAGAAATTCAGAAACACAGTGATAAATAACCCTTGGGTCAGAGAAGAAATAAACCATGATTTCACAGCACCTAAAAAGCAATAAACAGGAAAACACTTTATCCTGATAACTATGGAAAAAAGCCAAAATGGTACCCCCCCCCAAAAAATAGATATACACACATATATATAGTTTGAAAGCCTTTGTTATTAAAGATTAAATAGTATGGTTTTTAAAATGTTTCTTGCTTTTCAAAACATGATCATTATACAAATATATTTTCACACAGATTTAATTAGTAGATTTAGGATTTACTCACAGTTGCTTTTGCCTAGGATCCAGTAATGGGTTTAGAGCTTGTAACAACTTGTTTAAATTAAACATTCCAATATTAGCCTGATTTCCTATTTTATATCTTCTTTCATCATCAGATGTGTTTGGTACAAAATCTGTTTAGAGCAAAAATACTATTGCTTTACAGTGGGGATAATTATAATAGATAGTTTCTTCATTTAAAAAAAATTATTTACTTATTTATTTACTTGGCCGTGCCACGTGGCATACGGGATCTTAGTTCCCTGACCAGGGAGTAAACCCATGCCCCTTACAGTGGAAGCGCAGAGTTTTGACCACTGGACCGGCAGGGAAGTCCCTCTTTCTTCGTTTTTAAGTTTAAACTTAATAAATTTACATATATTAGATAAAAATCTTTCTGACATTAAACGCTTAACTTCAAAGTAATGTAAATACTTAATACCCATGCACATGAAAATCTTTTAAAATATGATTATCTGCCCAATAGAGGAATACATTTCTAACCTACAAGAATTTCCAGGTTATCACACATGTACTTCAAACTCCAGCTTGATAGCATGTCCCCCACAAAGCCTGCTCTGATCCGTTTACAGATTAGTAAAGTGGGAGGTTAAGTTACTCATCCAAGGGCACAGATTAAGGATCAGATGCCAGAACTCAGACCCACGTCTGTCTGACAACACATTCCCTTCCTCCCGTCATGTCATCTTCTCTAATATGTCATTTTTTGAGGGCAGAGACCACAAAGGACTCAATACTGTAACCCTGTGGCACCTGGAAGATTGAGTAGCACATAAAATGACCGTTTTATGAATGAACCCAATTCTTTCTACCACCCCACTACTGAGTTAGCTATAATGGTTTATCTAAAATAAACCAGTGATAATTTTCTTAGTGAAATAAGGAATATACATATAAATCATACATACCTGGATTATAGGCCTCCATAAAACCAAATGGACCATAGTCAATTGTAATGGATAACAAACTGAAGTTATCAGTATTACAAACACCTAAAACAACAACAACAAAAGATGCCCAAAACATGACAATAAAATAATAAAGCATTTTTAACTGTATAAAATTTTATACAGAATAGGAAAGGTAATGAAAATGCATTTGTTTTAGAAATGAAACGAATTATCAATTGAAAGTTTAACTGGTGAAGTCAAATAGCTTAATATATATTAAAACTGTATTTTAAAATTAAATTTAGCCTTTCGTTGTATACTTCCTCCACAACCAAAGATGTAAAATACTACAGGAACAAAAAGTCCAAGAAATGAAAGCTCCTCTCATTTATCTGGAAGTTCTAGCATTTATTTAAAAATATATGTTATTTGGAATGGAATTGAGACTACTAAAGAAACAACATTAATTAATTTTCAAAGGTTGTGAGAGGGGGAAAAGGTAAAAATATGGATATGTACCCCATAACAGTCCTTAGCTGCAGACCACCAGCAGTGTGTGGGGAGGGAGTGTGACCTCCTAGGTGGGGGAGCAGGTCATGGATGGGGGCGGAGTGTGAGGCAAGAGAGAGGCAGGGAATGCATACACCAGCCCAATATAGGATAGCTGGGCATGGTGGCAACAGTGTCCAGTGTAGACAGTTTCAACCTTTTTTAGAGCAGGATGACCCTGCTTATCAAAATGTTCAGTGCATATATAGACTCGAATCCAGCCAGTCCACTTTCAGGAGTTTATCCTCAGAAACTCACCTTCGAGAATGTAAAGATATAACTGCATGGTGGTCACTGCCGCACAGTTCATAACACCAAAACCTCTGAAACACCCTCCTGCTCACCACCCCACCCACCACAGTGAGACCCAGCGAGGATGTAATTAAAGCAGATTTCAAGAAGTTTTACAATGTGGAATCCCCCTTTGGCATTTATCTAGAGACCTTAGTACATATGTGACTTGCTTTTATTTTAAGACAGTTATTCTTAGTTCAGGCAGATATTCCTTCCAAGGTAACCCCACACAGTGAATGGCTTCAGACACACACAAGCCAGCCCTACTGTTTTTGTAGGGGATATATGAATACCATCGAAAAAAAGTCTAGAAGAATTGAGATAAAACTGGTTAATAATGATTCTCCTGGAGAACAGAACTCACATGCACTTCTTTAAATTTAAATTCTTTACCATACGCATGTAGTGCTTTTATGATTAATGGTTTTTTAAAAAGCTTTTAAAAGACCTAACATAATATATACTCACAAGGTTAAAAAGCTTTACAGGTAACAACATCAACAGGTCGAGTATGCTTATTCTATTTTGTGTATCTGTTCCGTTCAAAATCATTTTATACATGAGAAAGTTGTTTCTCTCTTGCTAAAAATAAATTCATATATTATAAATGTTATTCCTGCTCATCGGCAGGAATATTTTGAAATACACAAAAATGAAGTCTTCTGCTTCAACAAATTAATTCTACTTTCTCATCAGAAGCATGAAATGTCAGTAGAAAACTCACCATGAGCAAAACCAACAGACATCCACAAGGCAATAAGCTGTGCCGTCTCAGACACCGCAGTAGAAAAAAAACCCTAAAATGAAATTTAGAAAATTTTCAGATTTTTCAGTAACATATGTTCTTTTAGGATCTTCCGATTTCCAACATGAAAAGGTCTTCTCAAAGGTGGGCCAAAAGATGACTCAAGAGATGGAAAGTAGTACATGTAAGAAAACAATGGAAGAACATAGAGTTATTGATCCAGAAATAATATATACAAGGCTCAGGCACAGTATTATGACCAGGTTTTCTTCATGTACAATAAGAAAAGGAAAAACATTAGAATTCAGCACAGGGAGTTAAATGTAAGCAAAATGCGTTATTAAATTTTGAAATGAGTCACCAAGAAAAATAAAGGAATTTCCTTCTCTGTGGCTGTTAAAAGAAAGAAAAAGTTAATGAAGATCAAAAACTTTCCACAAGAATAGAAAATCACATTTGCCTATCATGTATGTATTTATTTTAGAACTACTACTATAGAAATACCTATATATCCAACATGTGAGAAAACAATGTATGTGACCAAGTTACAAATGCTGCTCAAAAAGTAATGTATATAGTCAGGATGGAGTCGCACCTGTTCTCTTTTTCTAGATACCTTTCAAACAGAACAACTTCCTTATCTATGTCTTGTTTACAAGGTGGTTCATCGTCTCTTTCTTTAACAAAACGTTCAAAATGCTCTACATTTCCTTTTTTAACTTTAGATTTTTAAGTGCTAAGTTGTAACCACTAAGGTGGCCGGCCAATGATAGAAAACAGAGTATTGTCCTTTCTTTTAAAAAACTTACCAAATATCTGTTAGGTTCCTTGACATCTACTGAGGGGAAGTGTTCCTGTATGATGAAGTCTAATAACATCCTAGAGATAAAGGGGAGATAGCATCAGTGTTCCTCAGAATACAGTATTGAGTATCCAATCATCTCAATCCTCTCCTGACATTCATGAATTCATTAGATGCATGCTTAGAATTTTAAAACGTAAAATAAGGGCTTCCCTGGTGGCACAGTGGTTGAGAGTCCGCCTGCCGATGCAGGGGACACGGG